ATACAACATCAGAAAAATCATACAGGACCCAAACTACAAAAATGTGATGCATGTAATAAGGCCTTTCTATTTTACTCTATTTACTTTCTATTTACTCCTTTTTGAAAATCAGAGGGTTCACACGAGAGGAAAACCCTTTCCGTGTGATGAATACAGAAGGGCCTTTAGCCAACCGGCGACCTTGAAATGACATAAGAGAATTCATAAACTTTGAATGCAAATGTATAGATACCTTGGACAAAGTTTCAAAGCCGACTGAACACTGGGCAGGTTCTACTGAACCAACACCAAACAAAGGTGATAATGTGAAAAATGCTTTAAGTTTTACTCACAATCTAACAGACATCAGAGAACTCATACTGGACAGAAACCCTTCAAACAATCTATGTGGAAAGATCTTTAGTCGAGAAGTCCTGAGATGGCATTAAAAAAGTCACATAGGAGAGAAAGTTTTTCATTGTCAAGTGTGTGGATGATTTTAGCACTAACTATGATTGTACCCAGCATGAAAGAACTCATACTGGTGAAAAGCAATAGGGATGTAGCCAGTGTGAGAAGACCTTCAGAATGGCATCTAATTTCAGCAGTCATAAAAGAACTCACTTAGAAGGGAAGCCTTTGTATTCAGTGTAAAAAACCTTTTGAAAGGTCCTACCTCGTTCAACGTCAGAAAATTCAAAGGAAATAGAATTTCTAAAATCATGATAATACTGCAAAGGTCTCTAGGTGCCACATCTTTACTAAACACCAGAGGATTCACCCAGAAAGACTCTATAAATAGCTAAATAGCTTTCCACACTGAATCCTCAACTTTTGTTCATCAGAATTCATACTGAAAAATCCTAGATTTGTAGGAAATTTAAGAACCTATTCAGCAAGGAAAGAGCATTTATATGATTACAGATGTATTTTCTGTCTTCCTTTGACCATGATTCTTTGAAGATATCCACCATAAAAATGAGCAGATTCAGCCTAGAATTTGAAATAAGCCAAGACTTTATCATCTCCCCTATATTGAGAATAGGAAGCAAAGGAGAATACTGTAATCAGAAAAATACTTTATTGAGCTTTTTCATTGAAGATAATATATTAGATCATGAAAACTTTTTAGAAATAGAGGCAATATGGTAAATGATAAAAAGATTGTGTGGAAAACTATACACCTAATCCAAGTAGACATAAATAAATTATGTGAACTCTGTTTCTGGGATTAAAACTATCCAAAGAAAATTCCTAGGGGCACGTGGGTGGCTCAGCTCATGATCTCAGGGTCCTGGGATCTGCCAGATTTCGGATCCACACTTAGTGGGGAGTCTGCTTGTCCCTTTCCCTCTGCCCCTTCCCTCACTCATGCTCTCTTTCTCGCAAACAAATAAATAAAATATTTTTTAGAACTTGCTCTAGGAGCCCTTGGGTGGCTTAGTCAGTTAAGTGTCTACCTTTGGCTCAGTTCATGATCCTGGGGTCCTGGGATTCAGCTCCACATGGGTCTCCCTGCTCAGTGGGGAGGCTGCTTCTTCCTTTCCCTCCACTGCTCCCCCTGCTTGTGCTCTCTTGCTAAATAAGTAAAATCTTAAAAAAAAAAAATTGCTCTAGTGGGAAGAGTTCACCTGAGCTTTAGGAAGAACGGATTCAGATTCTAGTTCTGTTACTAAGAAATGGGAACCTACACCGGGTCACTATATATATGTGTGTGTGTGTGTGTGTGTGTGTGTGCATATATATATATATATGCACACACACATACATACATATATGTATATTCTTGGGAAAAAAAAGTAACATCAAGTAGTTTTGCTCTGCCTTCCAAACACCAGGACCAAGATCATAGTATGAGACGTGGAAGAACTATAGAGAAGTACAGAGAAGTATCCTTCCAGGTTGGTGGGTAAAATTCTAAGAATCAAACTCAATTTTTCAATGTTTCCAACTCCAGCATCTGGCCATTTCCTCTTCATCCCCTTCCTTCCTCACTTCCCATATTTTAATCATGCATTTAAAAATTGAAAGCCTATTCCTTTCAGGTATACATGTTCTTAGCTGCTGAAGTTATACCCATCAGTGGGTAAGACAGAAGAGAAGACAGAAAAATTCTACTCCCTCATGGAGTATGCATTCTGGTGAGGAAGACAAACCAACTACAAACTTACAGGTGGTCAGGAGGTTGGGACCATGGATTAATATTTGGCTTGTGACCATGTTACATAATCAGTTAATGCCTGCATTTGACAAGGTAGAGGGAGGTCACTCAATGCGAGCCAAACAGGACCATGTGCTACCCCTGTAGCTCAGAATGGGGAGAAACTGGTTGGATTAATTTCCAAAGCTGGGTTGGACAACAATGCCAGGTGGAATCGGCTGCACATTTTCTGAGATTTGAGACTCTGATTACTACTTCTGAGGGATGCTCAAGGCATGCGTTATCTTGTGAAATTCGGGGACAAAAATCATCTGAAGTATGCATCCCATATATGAGTAGAAGGACTGCTGAAAATGACAGGTCAATGGCCCATGTTCAGTGCAGTTTGGCAAAGTACAGGGAACCAAACATTGCTAATGAGGAATAAGAGTTTAAATATATCACATAAGCCACTGGGTGTATCATGTAACATCAGTAAATCATTGTATATGTAAGTATACATTTACCTGTGTCCAGAATTTATGGCCATCACGTAGATCAGTGGCTGATGTCTGTAACATGACTGTGGTGGTGGGTACACAACCCTACACGTATAATAACGTTGTATAGAATTCACACACACACACACACAGCAAACTGGGGGAATCTGAGAAGAATGGGGGAGTTTTATCAATGTTAATATCCTGGTTTTGATAATATACTATCATTGCAAGATGTTATCATGGGAAACTGGGTAAATGGCATATGGAATCTCTATTATTTCTTACGATGGCATGCGAATCTACAGTTATCTCAATAAAAACGTCGATTATTTTTTTAAAAAAAAGTCAGACCCAAAAGAACGTCTTTTTTCCCTGTGGTCTCAGGTTACACCTGCAGAATCATGATATGTTTGCATCATGCTTATGAAAAAGAAAAAAAAATGTGAAAGAGCCTAATGCCTTCATTTTAAAGAGGAGAAAACAGGTGCACCAAGTAAGTACTTACCCAAGCCCCTAAAATCTGTTAATGTTAAGGAGCTTGTCATCATTTCTGCCTTTCTGTGTTTATAATGGAACATTTTGTGGCAACTGCCAAGCCCTCCAGCCCTGGGTTCAAACAACTTTGGATCTAACCCATCAGGACCACAACAGTCCAGCCACGTGATCTTAGAAAAATAATGTTTGAACTTTATAATTAGAATGAGAACAATTGTACCAACACCAACAGGATTTCAAGATGCTGAAATAAAATAATTCATGCTAGTACAGGGGACAGATGGTGGGAGGCTCTTAAAAGAATGCCTCTTTATTGGCAGGTAAAGTGCCAGACCCCAGACCCGAAGGCTTTGTAATAGAAAGACATAAAAGGTACAGTTCTTGCTCTATGAACAAAGCCTAGAAAGAGAGAAAAATATAAAAAAATAACCACAGAAGCATGGAGTGTGAGAACTATGTGGGTGTAGGGGATGTGGTGGTTGACGAGCCTGCCAAGTAAACTGGGGCCAGGTGCAAAGCTAGGCGTCTGAACCGCTCAGGGTTCTGCCCTGGAGGGTCGTGCCAAAGAGCCTAGTGGGAGGCTGGGAGGCTGAAGCCCCCTGGGAACCCTCACCGCTAGGAGGCCTGGGGCAAATGGCCTCTTTCTCAGAATCCTCCCTTTCCTCATCTCCAAGATAACAGAAGAATGGAATGGAATGGAATGGAGTCTGCAAGTCCTAGATGGGTTTTGAGTGGGGCGAAACTCAAGGTACTGGCAAGACTGTGTTCTTTCTGGAGGCTTGAGGGAGGACTGGTTTCCTCACCCTTCCTTAGCCCTTGACCCCACTTCCATTACCTGACGCTCCCGCCTCCTTCTTACAAGGACCCTTTTTTTAAAAAAGATATTATTTTATTTATTTGACAGACAGATCTCAAGTAGGCAGAGAGGCAGGCAGAGAGAGAGAGGAGGAAGCAGGCTCCCCGCTGAGCAGAGAGCCCGATGCAGGGCTTGATCCCAGGACCCCGGAATCATGACCTGAGACGAAGGCACAGGCCTTAACCCACTGAGCCACCCAGGCACTCTTACAAGGACCCTTTTGATTACATCAGCTCTACCTGGACATTCCAGGCTATGTGTACCCCATCGCCCCCTGAAGGCACCTAAATGCTTTGCCGCCTCCTTGCAGCTGCTTCATGTGAGTGGGGGGCACCAGGTGAGATTCCCCATCTCAAAGATTCAAGTGGGAAGTGCGTCACAAGCCCTCCTGTGGCGTGTGTAATATGACATCAGGACTGGGGTACGGTAGACATGCATAAAGAGCACTTGGGAATTTTCAGCCTAAACCCTGACAGACACTCTTGCACTCCCTATTCCTTCTTGTTCCTACTAGACTCGGGACCAAAACTGCTGAGAGCTCTGCAGGCAGTTACTGGCCTTGATTGGGAAATGAGAAGATTCTGGGTGTGATGACCTGGGTTCTACATAAGTGGGCTCAGGTGGGCGCCAGGCTTGCTGGCTGTGTTGGGGCTGACGTCTCTGAGAGGGTGAGTTTGTGCTCTGTTCCACTAGGACGTGGAGGGGATTTTGTTCAGGGCAGATCTGGGAAGCAGAGCCACACACTTTGGAACATGGGCAGAGGCCCCATAAACCCCCAAATCCCAGCTACCGCAGCACCCCGTGTGGGCTCCTTGTAGGGCCCAGGAGAAGAGAGGAACCTGCATGTCAAGGCTGGGAGGCTGGTGTATATTCCTGGTTTCCTCTGTGTAGTCGAGGTGATAGTGATTTGGGGTGGGGATGGAGGTTGGGGTGTCTGGTTTCATATACTTCTGCCCTCAATTTGAAGGTGTGACTTCTTGGGAGTCTGCTTTCTCCTGAGAAGAAGAGGAGGAGGAGGAGGAGAAAAATGGCCCTTTCATTTCTAAAGGTGATATCACAGGTGAATCGCTTACTTCTTATTTTCTTCCTAAAATATGAGTTTACATGGCCTAAAAACACTTTGCTAATTGGGGCTACAGGGAGACTTTGTTCCAGACCTTGTCCCTATCTTCTGGTTTTCTGGAACCTTGGGCATTCTTTAATTTGTAGATGTATCCCCCCAGTCTCTGCCTTTATCTTTACCTTGTGATCTCCCTGGGTCTCCTCATTGGTCTGTCTCGGGGTCCCCTTTCGTAAAGGCCCACCCTAATCTCATTTTAACTTAATTACTTCTATAAAATCCTTATTTTCTTTCTTTTGTTCTTTTTAAAAAGATTTTATTTATTTACTTGACACACAGAGATCACAAGTAGGCAGAGAGGTAGGCAGAGAGAGAGGAGGAAGCAGGCTCCCCGCTGAGCAGAGAGCCCGATGCGGGGCTCGATCCTAGGACCCTGGGATCATGACCTGAGCTGAAGGCAGAGGCTTAACTCACTGAGCCACCCAGGCACCCCAAAAAACCTTATTTTCAAATAAGATCACATTCTGAGGCACTGGGGATTAGAACTTCAAAGTAACTTTTTGGGGGGGAACTGTTAGGAATCCATAACAGACAGATATAAAAAATTATCAAACTGATTTCTTCTGGGAGAGAAGTTTTCATTTGTCTTGTGGTTACTGGTCATTTGACTTTTCAAATCCAAATTGATAACTGCCTTTGTTTTTGAAGGATACCTTTACTGGGTATAGAACTCTGGGTGTGTGACCTCAACTAAATGCTCAGTCACCCTATTCTCCTGGGGCACTGGAATAGTCTGGAATCCTACATTCCTACCAAAGAAAGTAGGGTTTCTTAGTGACCTCTGAAGCTTCTGTCCAACTCAGAATCCCAAGACTGTTCTCCCAAGTCTGAACCGGTGCAGGCACACTTCCAGTGTCTGCCAAGGACCCAGGGGAAATTCTCCCACAGGCGCTTAGGGCTCCTTCTCTAGCACTCTGTCCTCCCAACCCCAGCTGTGTTAGAAGGAAGCTCCAAACTCTGACATCCTCTCCCCCCATCCAGAAAGACCACTGCTTGGATTCTATGTCCCTGCACTGTGGCTCTAGAAATACCATCAAGGAGAATGCCAGGATAACACGCTTTTCTTCTGTTAAGGGTCACAGCCTTGGATAGGTTGCTTTCCAGTGTGTAAGAATAGTGGCTTCTCTATCTAGCTTTGTAAGTTCTTTGACAGTGAGAGGGCAACTTGAAGTCACTACTCCATCATGGCTAGAACCAAAAATGCTCTCTCCTTTAAAGTACAGCCCAAATTGACTTCATTTTTGCAGGTATCCCTCGATGCCTCAGCTCCTATAATCACAATCCTTATCAGTCCACACTGCATGGCATGAACAAGTGATTGTAGTAATCAGGATTCTCCAATAGGAGATCTATATGACTTATTATGTAACTCGTGTGATTGTGAAGGCTGAGAATGTCCCAGATCTGCAGTCAGCAAACTGGAGATGCAGGACAGCCGAAGGTGTAAGTTCTAGCCCAAGTAAGAAAGCCCAAGAACCAGGAAAGTCAATGGTGTAAGTTCCAGTCTGAAGTCTGTCAGGCTTGAGACTCAAGACTCTGTTGAAGACTGAAGACCGGCAAAGACCAATGTGCCAGCCCAACACTTAGCACAAGGAGTATCCTCACTGTTCACCTGGGCGGGATTCTAAGGCTTCAGTCATAATCTCACGGATGGCAGCCTCCCCCGGCTGACTCCTCTGCCAAGCACATACACCAAATGTATTTCTTTTGTTGTTCTTTTTTTCATGAGGATAGGAAATTTTGCCTCCCCAAACTCTTCAAGGACAAAGTAGACTTCTTACCGTTTCTACTTCCCATTATAGCTTGTGGCCACACATTTTTAAACATCCTTGTATACTGTCTGTCTCCCTCTTATGCCCAACTTGAAAGATACCTACGGAGAGCCACATGGAAGCATTTATAAAGTATAAATTTTTATTTCAGGAGTCCGTCCAATTGAGAGATGTGGCTGTGACCTTTTCTCCGGAGCAGTGGGCTTACCTGAGCTCTGAAGAGAGACAATTGTATACGGATGTGATGCTGGATAACCTTGATTACCTAGTGTCTTTGGGTAAGGAGATCTTTCCTCATTAGCTTAAAACTGCCAGTGGGAGAATTTTTTCCTTCTGTGTGCATATCTACAAAGACCCTGAGAATGCTTGACTGAATTCCTCAGCAAAGGACTGGAGCTATGTGATGCTAGGAAAGGATACTTTCATCTTCTGATGAGTCAGGCTTTCTATTCTCCACCATCTTCCAAACCATTGAACTTTCCTTAAGTGCCATGCTTCTCAGGCTATTGTGTGCCTAAGAAACAGCTGGGGAATGGCTAAAAAAGGTAGATAGTCCTTTTTTAAAAAAAAATACAAATAGTATTCTGGAGGTAGCCGAGAGATTTTTAAGTTGGTAATGAGACTCCTTATCACCAAAAGTGTGGGTCTAAATTCTGCAAGAATCACAGCATGATCAAAGTCCTTTATTTCTCTTAGGACACTGGACTTATAAGGCAGAAGTGGTATCCGCTTTGAGGCAAGGGAAGGACCTTTGGATGGTGGAGAAAGAGGTGACAAGTGCTCCATGCCCAGGTAACTGACCGGCACCAAGCAGGTGGAAGCCATTATGGCTCACACCCCAACTGGTCCGAGTAACCTGGACCCCCGAGGTGACAGGAGACGAACTCTTCCACAGGCTTCCAAAGAACTCTCATGTCTCCCCACCCCATCCGCCATGTTCATCACTCTCCCTGAAATCCTTTGTTCAGTCTTAGAACGCCAAATGGTGTGGTGGTAAAATAATGAAGCTTAAGTTACCACGTGAAGCGACAGAAGGATAAAGAGCTGAACTGGTCAAGTAACTTATCAGTGACTGGAATGAATGAATGGCTTAGCTGGGGAAAGTGTCATGAAAAGCCCTTTTTCCCCCAAGAAAGAGTTCAGGAGTAGGATTTTTTTTCTCTCTCTCTAGATTAAGATAATTGTTTAATCAGATATACCGTAACCAGAAAAACGATCAAATCCACCTTCTGATGAAGAGTGAGGACATGCCCTCCACCCCGCCCCACTGCCCCTGACTTCAGTACAGAAACCAGAAACTGCCAGATTGCAAGATCATCTAGGAATTTCAGACAAATGGGCTTGGTTTCAGGGCACGACACAGAAGGCAGCTCACTAACAGGCTCCTGAAAGTGAAGGGACAGAAAGTTAAAAGCTGAGACAGATGATGAGGATTTGGCTTGGAACATGATTAGATCTGAAGATTGGAGTAAGATCTGCAAATGCACATAAGATGTTGTTGGCATTTTTGGGAAATGGGTCTGAAGCCCACTCAGAGCTTTTATAAGATTGTTCCCAAGAATTCTAAGTAACACTGGGCCTTCTTATTCTTTTTTTTTTTTTTTAAACTTAGCAGTTTACTTTTTTTTTTTTTAAAGATTTTATTTATTTATTTGACAGAGAGAGATCACAAGTAGGCAGAAACAGAGAGAGAGAGGGAAGCAGGCTCCCCGCTGAGTAGAGAGCCCGATAAGGGGCTCGATTCCAGGACCCTGAGATCATGACCTGAGCCAAAGGCAGAGGCTTAACCTGCTGAGCCACCCAGGTGTCCTGGGCCTTCTTATTCTTAAAAAATGTAATGACCTGGCCCAAACTCCTCTCCCATCCCAAACTAGTTCATCGATCCACAGCAGTCTTCTCCAAACTCTGATTCCGCTGATGTATTTGTCTTTCTTTCTTACCTGTTCATGCTCTGTGCACTTCCAATATTTTTCTCTCAGGTTGTAGTCCCTTTAAGATTGACTCCAGTATTATTTCCTACTCTCCACTGCCTGGTTTTAGAAAAGCAATCTGTTTGCTTTCTGTTTTGTTTTTACCACTTACATACACCTATGCCTATTTAAGAAAAACAGTTCAGACTGTTTAGGGCTGGCAGTCAGGTAGAGAATTCAGTCAATCCCATTGTTCACTTTATAGCCAATGATCACTGTTGCTATATTCAAGAATCCCCCATTATGTTGCATTTCCTTCCTCTGTAACCTGTGATCTCTTTCTTCCTACCCACAGCCAGTCTGCTATATTTCCTATGCTAAATTTGCACATATTAGTTATAAAATACAGTTTCAAATATAAATGCATTTTAATTTAAATGGCATGCTGTGAAAAATCTTATTTTCCATTTATCTCTGTCTCTGAGGTCTTTACAAGTTATATATACAGACACATATGTGTGTCTGTCTCTTGTAGTGCAATATGGTGTTTTATACTATGGGTCCACCATATTTAATTTAGGAATCTTTTTCTCTAACAATAGGTAAGTCTCTACAACTCTTTCTGACCATATTTTATCAGATTTATCCCTGAGTATTTAATATTTTTGATGCTATTGTAAACAGTGTTTTTAAAATCTTTTTCAGTATGGATTTTATTGAAATTATAGGATCAAAGAAACACCTACACGTAACTCAAAGAAACAATACTCTTAGGCTGACTCTGTCATCTTCCTTTTCTCTATCTACCCCTGATTTATTCTTCCCAGAGAAACCACTTAACTCCAATAAGAAACAGCTGAAAGGGATGTCTGCTGGCTCAGTTAGTGGAGCATGAGACTCTTGATCTTGGGGGCATGAGTTCGAGCCCCACGTTGGGTATAGAGATTACTTAAAAATCTTGGGGGAGGGGTGCCTGGGTGGCTCAGTGGGTTAAAGCCTCTGCCTTCGGCTCAGGTCATGGTCCCAGGGTAGGGATGGAGCCCCGCATGGCATCAGGCTCTCTGCTCAGCGGGGAGCCTGCTTCCCCCTCTCTCTCTGCCTGCTTCTCTGCCTACTTGTGATCTCTGTCTGTCAAATAATTAAAATCTTAAAAAAAAAAATCTTGGGGGGAAAAAAGCTGAGTAATTTTTTTTTTAGATCTATTTTTTACTGTTTTTTCCTTATCTAGTTTAGATCTTGACTGACTCCGCCCACTGTACATACATTCCTCTCCTATCCCCACGACATGCTGTATGATCACTTCTTGTTACATGGGTATTCAGTGTTTACATAACTGTGCCTGACTTTATATGACTAGCCTCCCTCACGGTTGAGGCAAGCAGTCTTGAACAACTTAGTAGTTTTTCCTGGGTTTCATAACACCTTCAGCTCTTTTCAGTTCTTATCTAAAGGTCCTCAATCCATCTTTCAAAATTCTGGAAAAACTAAAAAGCCTCTGTTATACTACATATATCAGGTGTCTGTCTAATAATTCTCTGTGAGCCCTCACTCCTGGACTCTCCATTTCTAAACCCTCTGTTGATTTCATGCAATTCTCTCCACCCATCTCCCTCTTCAACATCACTGTATTATTATTATTTTTTAGCAGCTTTATGGACACTCTTCACGTAATAAAACAATTTTCCCCCTCAACAACAGATAGCATCTCTCCTCTTGCCACTATATAAGGACATCCCTTCCTTTCCATTTATCTTCTCTCCACCTCACTCTTCAAACACGGCTGTTCATCAAGCTTAATTTTACATTATCATCCCTGATAACATCTGCATCCTATTCTGTAATAACCATACTCCCTTCAAAGATGAAAACCATAAACAGCATTTACACCATTACGGTTACATTATGGTCACTGAATGGCTATGATTGGATGTCTTTGTCTTTGGCTCCAAAATTTTTATGTACATAATACTCAGAGGGAAACACTGAAATGAAGTCTACTTTCTTACAGCATATTTAAGTAGGGTTCACTTTTTTCTACTTTTACCATCTATTCAAAATCCTGCAGAATTTTTATTTCTACTTGAAGGATGCCTTTCTTGCAGTTTCAGTGATTCTTTGTTTGCTTAGGGTAAGAAACCTGCATTGCCTTTGCATCTTTGTCAAAAAATCAGTTGTCTACTCTTAATCGCATGAAACAAACAGAGGTTTACAAGGGGGTGGAGGGGGAGGGATAGCGTGGCTGGGTTATGGACATTGGGGAGGGTATGTGCTATGGTGAGTGCTATGAAATGTGTAAGCCTGACGATTCACAGACCTGTACCCCTGGGGTAAAAAATACATTATATGTTAATAAAAAAAAATCAGTTGTCTATATTCATTCATGTTATTCCCTTACTACCCTTCTAGTGGCTGTAGAATCTGCAGTTAGATTACCTCTTTCATTCCTGACATTAGTAATTTGTCTTTTTTTTTTTTTTTCTGATGAGTCTGGTTAAGTTGGTCAATTTTCTTTTCCTTTTAAAAAATATTAAGTAATCTCTACACCTATGGCTCGAACTCATCACTCCAAGATCAAGAGTTGTATGCCCCATGGGGCACCTGGGTGGCTCAGTGGGTTAAAGCCTCTGCCTTCAGCTTAGGACATGATCCCAGGGTCCTGGGATTGAGCCCCGCATTGGGCTCTTTGCTCAGCAGGGAGCCTGTTTCCCACCCCTCACCCCCTGGCCTCTCTGCCTACTTGTGATCTCTGTCAAATAAATAAATAAAATCTTAAAAAAAAAAGAGTCACATGTCCCTTCTTTTTGTTTTACTGTTTTTGTCTGTATTGGTTTCTTGTTTTCTATTTCATTGATTTCTTCTTTGATTTTTTTTTTTTATCTGACAGATTGAGAGAGAGAGAGAGATCATAAGTAGGCAGAGAGGCAGGCAGAGAGAGAGGAGGAAGCAGGCTCACCGCCAAGCAGAGAGCCCGATGCGGGGCTCAATCCCAGGACCCTGAGATCATGACCTGAGCCGAAGGCAGAGGCTTAACCCACTGAGCCACCCAGGTGCCCCTTCTTCTTTGATTTTTATTATTTCCTTCTACTTTGGTTTAATTTGCTCTTTTTAAAAATTTTTAAAAAATATTTATTTACTTATTTATTTATTTGACAGAGAGAGCACAAGTAGGCAGAACGGCAGGGAGAGGGAGAAGCAGGTTCTCCACTGAGCAGGGAGCCTGTTGCGGGGCTCTATCCCAGGACTCTGGGATCATGACCCAAGCTGACGGCAGCCACCCAACCAAGTCACCCAGGTGCCCCTCTTTTTAAAATTTTCTTAAAGTGAAAGCTGAAGTCATGGATTTGAGACCTTCTTCTAATATAGGTACTTAGTCCTATGAATTTTACCCAAATACTGCTTTAGAGGTATCTCACAAATTCTTATATACCGTGTCTTCATTTTCCTTCAGTACAAATACTTAATTTCTCTTTTCATTTGTTTGAGTAGTTAGAAGTATATTACTTAGTTTGAAAGTACCGGGGAATTTTGCAAGGATATTTCTGTTAAGTTCTAGTTTAATTCTATTGTAGTGAGAGAACGTACTATGCATAGCTTGAGTCTTTTTAAGTTTGTTGAGACTTGTTTTTATGGCCAGCACGTGGTCCAACTTGGGAAATATTTCCTTGTGCACTTGAGAATGTATATTCTGTTGAGTGGGGTGTTCCATAAACAGCAATTAGATCTAGTTGGTTAACAGTGTTGTCCAAACCTATCCTATATTTGCTGGTATTCTGCTTACTCCTTTAATCAATTGTTGAGACAGGGTTTTGAAATCTCTAATTATAATTTTGAGTTTGTCTCCTTCCCCTTGATGTTCTTTTTGCATCCTGTATTTTGAAACTCCGTAGGTACGTAAACATTTAAGGTTGCTTTGCTCTTCATCGACTACTTTATCATTATGAAATATTTTTATTCCTGGACATTTTTATTGCTCTGAGATGGGTTTTGTCTGCTACTGGTATAGCCAGCTACTCAAGCTTTCTTTTGACTGGTAGCAGGGTGTACATATTTTCCATCCTTTTCCTTTTAACCTATTTGTGCCATTAAATATTTAAAGTGAGTTTCTTTAGAGAATATATAATTCAGTTTTCCTTATCCAATCTTGATAATCTCTACTTTTTTAAAATAGGGGTGTTTATCCCAGTAGATTTGAGTGAGAGGGGAGGGAAGATTTTGTCCCTTCATGATAGCTGGCGAAGTCTGGTGACATTTTTGGTGGTGACAATTGAGGATGGGAGTGTGCTACTGGCCTTTAGGGAGTAGAGGCTAGAAATGCTTTTAAATATCCAATGTGCTCAAGACAGTCTGTACACCAAGAATTATCTGGTGTAAATTGTCAGTAATGCCAATTTGAGAAACCTGGTTTATTGCCATTTACAGTTTGTTTGTATTTTTTTTAAGATTTGTTTATTAGAGAGTGTGAGTGCGAGCTTGTGCACACACACACACACACACCTTGGAGGGGTAGTGGTGGGGAGGAGCAGAGGGAGAGGGAGAGAGAATCCCAAGCAGTTGCCCCACTGAGCTCAGAGCCCAACATGGGCCTTGATCTCACAACCTGGAGATCATGATCTCAGCTGAAATCAAGAGTGGGATGCTTGACCGACTAAGCCACCCAGGCACCCCAACTGCCATTTACATTTAATGTGATTTTAAAAAAAAAAATTTTTTTTTTAAAAGATTTTGTTGAGAGAGAGAATGAGCAGGGGGAAGGGGCAGAGGGCGAGGGAGAAGCAGACTCCACAGCCAAGGAGGGAGCCAGACATGGGGCTCGATCCTCGGACCCTGGGATCATGACCCGAGCCGAAGGCAGACGCTTCACTGACTGAGCCACCCAGGTGCCTCATTTAATGTGATTACTGATATGGTTAGGGTTGAACATATCTTGTTACTGATTTGTTGCTTCTGCTCTTTATTGCCCTTTGTCCCCTTTATTGCCCTCTTCTGAGTTGAGTATTTTTTCAGAATTCTACTTTATCATCTTTGTTGGCCCATTAGCTATAACTCCTTGCTCTACGTTAGTAGTTGCATTAGAGTTTGAGTTTATGGTATCCATCTTTAATACAATAGTTCTACTTCCATTTATCTCCATCAGCCTTTATGCTGTTGGGACAAATTTTACTTTTAGTTTGTTATAAGCCCCACAATATGCTGTTGTTCGTGTTAATCAGCCATACTTTTTTAGAGAGACTTAATAATTTTAAAAAACTTACATATTTACCACGTAGTTACAATCTCTGATGTTCTTTGTTTCTTTGTGTAGACCCAAATGTCCAGCTGGTATTCTTTTCTTTAAAATTTTTAAAATTTAAACTTTTAACTTGTCGTGTAGTTCACTGGAAATGAATTCTTTCAGCTTCTGCATTTCTGGAATTTTTTTTCTTTTTTTTGTCTACATTTTGGAAAGGTTTTTGCTGGGCCTAAGAATTCTGGTTGAGGGGCACCTGGGTGGCTCAGTCGGTTAAGCATCTGCCTTCGGCTCCGGTCATGATCTCGGGGCCCTGGGATCCAGCCCCATGTGAAATTCCCTGTTCAGCATGGAGCCCCATCTGAGACTCACCAACAGTCAGCAGGGAGTCTGCTTCTTCCTCTCCCTCTGCCCCCTGCTCACATTCTCTCAAATAAATAACATCTTTTAAAAAATTCTGGTTGATAGGGTTTGTTTTCCTCCTAGGATATTAATTTTTGCATCTATATAATTTTTTAAAGATTTTATTTATTTGACAGAGAGAGAGAGTGAGAGAGATCACAAGTAGGCAGAGAGGCAGGCGGGGGGGGGGAAGCAGGCTCCCCGCTGAGCAGAGAGCCTGATGTGGGGCTCAATCCCAGGACCCTGAGATCATAACCTGAGCCGAAGGCAGAGGCTTAACGCACTGAGCCACCCAGGTGCCCCTATATAATTTTTTTTTTTGCTTGAAGTGTTCCCAGTGGGAAGTCTGAGGCCCTTCTTATCTTTGTTCAATGTGCAGAACGTCTTTTTCAACTTTTCTTAAAAAATAGTTTTCTCTTGGGGCATCTGGATGGCTCAGTCGTTAAGCGTCTGCCTTCGGCTCAGGTCATGATCCCAGGATTCTGGGATCGAGCCCCGCATCGGGCTCCCGGCTTGGTGGGAAGCCTGCTTCTCCCTCTCTCACTCCCCCTGCTTGTGTTCCCTCTCTCGCTGTGTCTCTCTGTCAAATAAGTAAATACAATATTTAAAAAAAAAATAGTTTTCTCTTCATTGCTGATTTTGAGCAATTTGATTGTCATGCACCTTGGTGCACTTCCTTTCATGTGTCTTGTGTTTGGGTTTGCGGGGCTTCTTAGATCTGTGGGTTTATTGTTTTCATTTTGTTTGGAAAGGTTTTGGTCATTTTTCTTTTTAATTTTTTTTTTCTAGTCTTTCCTTCTCCTTCTCCCAGAGATTCCAGCCGTGCATGTACTAAAGCCATCTGAAGTTTGCTAAATCCTCTCAACCTCACCAAGGGACGGTGAGACTTCTCTTTCAATCCTCCTCCAGTTTTTGAGTTCTACATTCCATTTCTTTAGCTCATCTCCTCTGAGTTCTCCAACCAGGCTCTCCACATTATTGTTTTGTCTTTGGTTGGGCAACTTTGGTTTTGACTGTACAATTTTGCTATAAACGTGAACTATTAAGTTTGTTTGTTTTATTATTTAAAGATTTTATTTATTTATTTGACAGAGCGAGACAGCGAGAGAGGGAACATAATCAGGGGAAGTTGGAGAGGGAGAAGCAGGCTTCCTGCTGAGCAGGGAGCCTGATACGGGGCTCGATCCCAGGACCGTGGGATCATGACTTGAGAGCTGAAGGCAGACACTTAATAGTCACCCCTATTAAGTTTATTTAAACATTATATCTTCAAAGCAATTATTTCTACTTTGTTCTTTTTAATTACCACTTGATTCTGTCTTATGTTATAATGACATTTATCCTTTAGAAAATATTACTCCTCTATTTTTCAACTATTCCTCTGTATTCATACATTTTCAAAGTAGCCTCTCAAGATCTAGAATGAGTGGGATAACAGAAACCCATGCTAGTTCTCTGTCTTATCAATGGTAAAAAATTTTGAATTTCTTAACCTATATAATACTTCCTATGTTCTATAGAAATGCTCAAATTTTTTTCCTAGCTATTAACTGATCTTAATTTAGATTTCTTTATTATATAAAAAAAAAGGTTAGTACTTATAACCCCAAAGTTTGACAAAAAAGGTAAGCTGGACAGAACAGGGGGTTATCAAAATACAATGATGTGCTCAACCAGTATAAAGCTTGAGTATGGTGTGTGTGTGTGTGTGTGTGTGTGTGTGTGTGTGTGTGTGTGTATCACAAAATGGGACTCCTCTTACTTTGAAGAATCTAAGCCTAGAATATATTTCAAAAAATTAGCAAGACATATATATAAGCTATTCTTGGTATTCTTGGTATTCTTGGCAATAACCAAAATACAAGTAGAATAACTCAAATATCCAAGTAGAACACTGGCTCAGTCAATAACGACAGTAAATTCACACAGTAAAATATATAATATATGAAAAATATATATATCGGTATTACTGATATATAAGAATATATATACTGATATGTATCAGTAAAACTGATAAACCAGATTTTTATTTCCTGACATAAAGACCCCCAATTTTGTTGTTTAAAGGAAAACATTTAAAGTATAATCACTTTCACAACTTGCTAGATCTATACAGAGCTATTTTAAAGAACCTTAATGAAAATCAATCTTTGGTCCCTGTTTAGAATTTCATGTGATGCTTTTTAGATTCTTCAAGCTTATTCTGTTTTGGTAATTAAAATTTTAACTACTTTTTAACTCTGATTTTTCTTTACAGTCACAAATACAAGCATTTCAAGTTTACAGAAATTTTTCATGGGCCGCATGTTGATCACTTAAAGTCTTGTACTGGTACACGTCTCTCATTCCTCCACCCCAACGTCCCGTCCTACCTCTCTGAAGTCCCCAGTCACTGAGACGTCCTCTCCTCCTGTATCCCATATACTAATGGTCTTGATGTTTGTTGTCACGCCTGGATTTAATTTTATCTTCCTCCTATTGTTTTCCTACTAGCATGTCAGCCAGCATTGGTGAATTACGATACCCTTAACGAATCTGAGAGTATCATCAGACAAACCTCTCACCATGCTAAATATAAGAAAATTTGTATTTTTGTCCAGCGTTATGAATGTGAGGACTGCAGCATGGCTTTCAACCATATCTCCCATCTCACTGGACATCAGAGAATTCACAAGGTAGAGAAAGCCCACAGACCGGGTCAAACCACAAAGGCCTTTAGGCATGGCCCATCATTTACAACACTCCAAAGCATTTATATTCTAGATAAATACTTGGAGTGTAACCAGTGTGGCAAAACCTTTACCAGTGCTTCGAAGTTTATTCAACACCAGAACGTGCACAGCGGACTGAAGCCATATAGATGTGGTGTGTGTCAGAAGGCCTTCAGATTTCTCTCCTCCTTTCAGACCCACCAGAGATTTCACACCGGAAAGAGACCGGCCCTGATTCTCCATCACAAGCCTCCCACTCAAAAGAAACTCTTCACCTGTAAGTCTTGTGGGAGGGCCTTTGACACTTTCTCAGAAAAGATGCAACACCAAAAGATTCATGTTAGGAAGAAATATTACACATGTAATGACTGTAAAAAGGACTTCAGTCCATACTCGAAATTTATCCTACATCAAAGAGTTCATACTGGAGAGAGACCGTATACATGTAATGAATGTGGAAAATCCTACAAAAGCATCTCAAATCTTAAAAAACATCAGAAAATTCATACTGGAGAGAGGCCCTTTTCATGTAATGAGTGTAAAAAGACCTTTACCCAGCACATAGATCTTCAACGTCATCAACACGTCCATACTGGAGAGAAACATTACATGTGCAGCAGTTGCAAAAAGACCTTTGTCCGTTTCTCAGATCTAACTGAACATCGAAGGACTCATACCGGAGAGAGGCCATACCAGTGTGATGTTTGTAAAAAAACTTTTAAATATCACTCAAACCTTAGCAAACATCAGAAAATTCATTCTGAAGAGAAGCCTTTCACGTGTGACGAATGCCAAAAGACCTTTCGCTATTGCTCAGACTTTCAACGACATAAAAACATTCACACCAAGGAGAAAGTCTATCAGTGCGATGAATGTCAGAAGGTTTTTAACAATAATTCAAATCTTAATAAACACAAGAAAATCCATACCGGAGAGAAACCTTTTGTATGTGATCAATGTGGAAAGGCTTTTAGCTTAAACTCAAAACTTACTCGACATCAGAAAACTCATGATAAAAAGAAACCTTAAAAATCCAGAAGATGCAGAAAGGCATTCAGAAAGCACTTACCTTTGGTTAGAATTCGAAATTGAACCCAAAGAGATCAATGCGGAAAGGTTTTTAGTCAAAGCCCAATTCTGTGTAAAATATTTGCGAAACAGAGATACGTATATGGTGAAGAAACAGGGAGATGTGATTAGAAATGTCTTTTATATGTTGCATTGACTGGATTCTTTGAGCAAAAATGACTAAATGCGTTCAACTGGAACTTGAAATTGGATAAGGCTGTTCCTATCGTGAGAAGTAGGCTAAGAGATGGACCGAAAAGAACAATTGTGTTGTCGTCTCTTCATATTCTATTTTCACTGGATGAATAAAAAGCCTATTTTCAACGGAGGCAGGTCTCTAAAGATGTCAAATTTTGTAGGGAGATGAGGCAACGCGAATCCAAGCAAAAATAAGGAAAACAAAAGCCTTCTCTTTGGAATTAGAACTATTAGAAAAGAAGAAAATTTGCTAGGGGACAGTGAACAACGAAAAACTAATCATGATTAAAGAAGCTAAAGGATGAAGAGTTAAGAGGGTAGACAGGAGAAACCTGGAGGACACTGGTTGTGGGGTGGGGACGGGTGATGGCTTCTGCTGTTAGTCCAAATGGATAGGACTCTAGAACACCCAGCTTCCCTGAACAGTCAGCACCATCCTTAGATGTATCTAGAAAATCAAAAGGAAGGGGACGAATGCACCAATTCTAGTTAGATTCAGGACACAGAGAATCTATTACTCGTAGTGTTGTTTGAAATAAGTTGATTTCCTGTATGCTTTACTGAATAAATGCTAAGTCTTCTCGTATATGCAAACACTGGTGTGTAATGTTGAATCCCTTTAGACCTTGGGTCAGAAATCTAATTACACTTCTCTGAATCTGTTCCTATCACCATGGGTGGCAAATTTGCCACGTTCAGCCAAGTGGGACAGGTGTGGTCTAACAAGTCTGTTTAAGGACTGGCCCCAATCCACAGAAAGTGATGGGAAGACAACACTCAGTTTCTTCTTTGGGGGAATCATGCTCACTTCTCTCTCCTTCCCAGCTATTATGGTGGCTGCCACAGAGCTAAACCATTGTGATCCCTAGATGTGTCCCCTCCTTGTCTCACGTGTTTATCTCTAAGAAAGTGACCTATATATAGCTTACCTTTTTGCAAATAAGACCCTTTATAGTTTTATAGGTTAAGTTATATATAAGCTGGAAATGCAACTGAATTAAGTTTTAAAATGAGTACAGAAGAAATGTTACAGAAGCAGTGGTTATTAAGATAAAGAGAAAAAAAATTGTGCACTGGACTCCTTACTCTTAATTTTGGTTCTTAAAAATCTGGGGTAGAGTTGAAATTAAACAGGAACTTCATGGGTTCCAAATCTATTAAGATTTCCAACATGGCTCCTACCAGGGTCAAATTGCTAATTCTAAAATCTGTATTAGAGGGGTGCCTGGGTGGATCAGTGGGTTAAGCCTCTGCCTTCGGCTCTGGTCATGATCTCAGGGTCCTGGGATCGAGCCCCACATCGGGCTCTCTGCTCAGCAAGGAGCCTGCTTCCCCCTCTCTCTCTGCCTGCCTCTCTGTGATCTTGGTCTGTAAAATAAACTCTTTGGAACAACAACAACAACAAAAAACTTAAAAAAAAAATAAAATCTGTATTAGAAGAAAAGAAAGCTTAATAGAACAGACTAGAACAGCTTGTTCTGATAAGTCTAGTACTCCAAATCTGCCATCTCTAGACTCAATAGAAACCTAGATCTCAATAAAAAAAATTCTTAACATATATTCTTTGGGTCTGTTGCCATGTTTCCTAGGGGCTACCACTAATTATAAGCCACAATTCTGCAATTATATGAAAAGGAAAAAATAAAACACTAGCCATTATGCAAAAGTTACCCTATTCAAGACATTACAGAGTTCCAAGCACAAATTTTTTTTTCTGTTTATTTCCAATTGGATTTTAATATCAAAACCACGGGATATTTACATCATTTAAGTAACTAGAGTTACGATAAAAAAGGGAGAGAGAAGATATAAATGCTTATATTTAGTTTAAAATGTCATCTGAACACTAATATAGTGTATATATAACTAATGTTTTTGTTTTTAGTCACTAAATCCTTATTTACATTGAGTTTTCATTGTCATGCATTTGAGGATATAATCTAGGTTTGTGGGTTGACTTGGGTTTAAGTACTAACCCCCAAGTGCTGGGGGTTTCTCCATTATGCTCCCACAACTACCACACTCATGATATTTCTGACACCAGCTGTGGAGGGTTTCACATGCCACACCACGTAACTCTGTGATACGAGCCCAGTGTCCTATAATTTAACTCAATTCTGATGCTATTTACCTGAATATAGTGTCAGATCCTAAGGGTTATAGGCTCAGTCCCACAAGACTGACCCCTCCATGCCAATCACAAATCCAGGTGTCACCTGTGCTGACCCATCAGCTATAAATCAGAGGTCCGTGGCCCACTTCTAGAGTTTGATTAATTTGGTAGAGCAGATCACAAAACCCAGGAAAAGTTTACCTGCTGCTTACCAGTTTATTACCAGCCCCCCCCAAAACCATGAAGGTTACAGATGGGTATCCTACTGGACAAGAGGTGTATATGTGAGAAGGGGTATGGGGCTTCCATGTCCTTTCTGGGTGGGGGGTCCCACTCTTCCAGAACCCCCAGACCTGGAAGGTCTCCAATCCCCATACGATTGGGATTTTTTTTTTTTAATTTATTTATTTGAGAGAGAGAGAGAGGCAGGGAGGCAGGCAGAGAGAGAGGGGGAAGCAGGCTCCCTGCTGAGCAGAGAGCCCGATGCGGGGCTCGATCCCAGGACCCTGAGATCATGACCTGGGCCGAAGGCAGAGGCTTAAGCCACTGAGCCACCCAGGCGCCCCACGATTGGGATTTTTAAGGAGGCTTCACTCTGTAGGCAGATGGATCATTAACTCCGTTTTCAGCCCCCCCCTCCCCTCGCTGGAGAATGGGGGGTCGGGCTGAAAATTCCAAGCTTTACCCATGGCTTAGTCTTTCTGGTGACTATCCCCCAACCAGGAGCCCACCAAGAGTCCCCTCATTAAAAGAAAAGATCCCACTGTCAGCTCTAAGACTCTAAGGGATTTAGGAGCTCTGTGCCAGGAACTGGGAGCAGAAATCGATATATATCTTTTCTATTCTCTCCGACACTGGTATCAGCAAATGCGACCTTATCTGGGGATAAAACCTTGGCAGATATAACCAAGATGAGGTCAAAAGCCAATCAAGGATGTCCTCATGAGAGTAAATGCAAAATAATTGCTATTGGATGATGTTTTAACTTTATGAAAGATTGAATTATCTCTGTGAAGGCCATTCAAGTGCCACAGAACGCAAAACTGAAGCACACAGCACAGTGTCATCTGTGTGCATGATACAAGCAACATTGGTATTTGCATGAAATCAGTGGCTACCCCTCAGACAGTTTGGGGATTTTGGGCGGGGGAGGTCTAAAGCAATTTAAAAACTACCAAACTAGATGATCATGGGCTATAAGAGTATTAGTGTAATACCCTCATCGACAGGAAATCTGCCAGCTCCTCAGTCTGTCTCTACTATACATTTTGAGGAAATAACCACAGGACGGGGCTGTGGTTCAACTGGTGGACATAAAGCCTTTGCGAAGTAGACTTGGGTCCCAACTCCATCTGTCTCCTGACCATTACTGAAGTCCCTACTCTGACATACGGCAGTGTTTGGGAACTCAAAGAATGAGCATTATATCGGAGCCAACATCTAATGGCCCTTGGGAGTCTGAGTATTTCCATTTCTCCAGGGCACGGCTACCGCTGGTAAATAACCAGAGCTCCCTCTGGAAAGGCCTGGGGGAAGACTCACACTGTGCTCCTATGGGTACACTGCAGGCCCTTATTCAATGGTCCTCCCTGAAGCTACTTGGGTCTAGGAATGGACTTAGGTTTGGGAACTGAGGAAGGTGCCATGAGTCTCCACTATAATCACTCATCAGGTTTCTGTCCAGGAGACCCAGACGTTTTCCATTTATATGTCAAGCTAGACCTTAGAAGGCTGCCTGCCCATTCTTGGGTCTCCATGGTCCATTAGCCATCACCAGCAGGCCCAATTCCTCTGATGACCATTCTGCCCTAAGGCATGTTATGAACACCATCCTCTGTGTCTCTAAGGGTTGGGTGCTGACACACTACAGGATCCTACTATCTCCATCCTGACAATCTGTTTCCTGGGGCCACTTCTGGCACCAAATAGGGAATCAGTCCTGTGAGGAAGCCATGCATTCAAAAGGAATGAAAGAAAATTGGATGAAGAGATTCTTTACAGGTCTGGGAAGAGCTGGGCGAAGCTGACAAGGATGGTTGGGGGCACACAAGGCCAGCAACAGGGGGAAGTGTCCACCAACCCTAACCTGAAGAGGACAGGGTTGTGTGATGACTTTGTAATGTGTCATGTTGGCTTGGATGAGCTAGACTCCCTAGACTTCCCTTCCCTGTACATCTCCAGGGACATCTCGGGCACCCCAAGAATATAGTTTTAAAGTGAAAGATAATAAAATCCATTCTCAATAGCAACCAAGGCTTTGAAAGAACTATGAGTAAGTTTCAAGAAAAAAGTCTCAAGAAAAAGAGCAACACGCACATACACGCATACACACATGTAAATTTACACACATGTACACATTCGTGCACACCTGTGGGAGTATACATATGCCAATTTTATACGCCAATTTTACCACTTGGATAAACCGCTTCATCTTCCCTGGGGCAGAATGTACAATGCGGCCGAGTTGCTCAGAATGGGCTTCGGGAAAAGTCCCATTCATGGAAATGAGGATTTGAAGGAAAAACATCTCCTACTAATTTAACAGCAATCCTCCCTAACTGCATATATATATCCAACGTAATTCTAATTGGCATTACAGCGGTCTTTTTTTTTTCCCTCTCAGAATTTGGTAATCGAATTCTAAAGAACA